GCTCTCCGACCTCGAGAAGGTAACGATGTGTCGCAGGAGCTGACTACTCGCGCCTGCAGGCCGAGGGCTACAAGATGCTCTCCGACCTCGAGAAGGTAACGATGTGTCGCAGGAGCTGACTACTCGCGCCTGCAGGCCGAGGGCTACAAGATGCTCTCCGACCTCGAGAAGGTAACGATGTGTCGCAGGAGCTGACTACTCGCGCCTGCAGGCCGAGGGCTACAAGATGCTCTCCGACCTCGAGAAGGTAACGATGTGTCGCAGGAGCTGACTACTCGCGCCTGCAGGCCGAGGGCTACAAGATGCTCTCCGACCTCGAGAAGGTAACGATGTGTCGCAGGAGCTGACTACTCGCGCCTGCAGGCCGAGGGCTACAAGATGCTCTCCGACCTCGAGAAGGTAACGATGTGTCGCAGGAGCTGACTACTCGCGCCTGCAGGCCGAGGGCTACAAGATGCTCTCCGACCTCGAGAAGGTAACGATGTGTCGCAGGAGCTGACTACTGGCGCCTGCAGGCCGAGGGCTACAAGATGCTCTCCGACCTCGAGAAGGTAACGATGTGTCGCAGGAGCTGACTACTCGCGCCTGCAGGCCGAGGGCTACAAGATGCTCTCCGACCTCGAGAAGGTAACGATGTGTCGCAGGAGCTGACTACTCGCGCCTGCAGGCCGAGGGCTACAAGATGCTCTCCGACCTCGAGAAGGTAACGATGTGTCGCAGGAGCTGACTACTCGCGCCTGCAGGCCGAGGGCTACAAGATGCTCTCCGACCTCGAGAAGGTAACGATGTGTCGCAGGAGCTGACTACTCGCGCCTGCAGGCCGAGGGCTACAAGATGCTCTCCGACCTCGAGAAGGTAACGATGTGTCGCAGGAGCTGACTACTCGCGCCTGCAGGCCGAGGGCTACAAGATGCTCTCCGACCTCGAGAAGGTAACGATGTGTCGCAGGAGCTGACTACTCGCGCCTGCAGGCCGAGGGCTACAAGATGCTCTCCGACCTCGAGAAGGTAACGATGTGTCGCAGGAGCTGACTACTCGCGCCTGCAGGCCGAGGGCTACAAGATGCTCTCCGACCTCGAGAAGGTAACGATGTGTCGCAGGAGCTGACTACTCGCGCCTGCAGGCCGAGGGCTACAAGATGCTCTCCGACCTCGAGAAGGTAACGATGTGTCGCAGGAGCTGACTACTGGCGCCTGCAGGCCGAGGGCTACAAGATGCTCTCCGACCTCGAGAAGGTAACGATGTGTCGCAGGAGCTGACTACTCGCGCCTGCAGGCCGAGGGCTACAAGATGCTCTCCGACCTCGAGAAGGTAACGATGTGTCGCAGGAGCTGACTACTCGCGCCTGCAGGCCGAGGGCTACAAGATGCTCTCCGACCTCGAGAAGGTAACGATGTGTCGCAGGAGCTGACTACTCGCGCCTGCAGGCCGAGGGCTACAAGATGCTCTCCGACCTCGAGAAGGTAACGATGTGTCGCAGGAGCTGACTACTCGCGCCTGCAGGCCGAGGGCTACAAGATGCTCTCCGACCTCGAGAAGGTAACGATGTGTCGCAGGAGCTGACTACTCGCGCCTGCAGGCCGAGGGCTACAAGATGCTCTCCGACCTCGAGAAGGTAACGATGTGTCGCAGGAGCTGACTACTCGCGCCTGCAGGCCGAGGGCTACAAGATGCTCTCCGACCTCGAGAAGGTAACGATGTGTCGCAGGAGCTGACTACTCGCGCCTGCAGGCCGAGGGCTACAAGATGCTCTCCGACCTCGAGAAGGTAACGATGTGTCGCAGGAGCTGACTACTCGCGCCTGCAGGCCGAGGGCTACAAGATGCTCTCCGACCTCGAGAAGGTAACGATGTGTCGCAGGAGCTGACTACTCGCGCCTGCAGGCCGAGGGCTACAAGATGCTCTCCGACCTCGAGAAGGTAACGATGTGTCGCAGGAGCTGACTACTCGCGCCTGCAGGCCGAGGGCTACAAGATGCTCTCCGACCTCGAGAAGGTAACGATGTGTCGCAGGAGCTGACTACTCGCGCCTGCAGGCCGAGGGCTACAAGATGCTCTCCGACCTCGAGAAGGTAACGATGTGTCGCAGGAGCTGACTACTCGCGCCTGCAGGCCGAGGGCTACAAGATGCTCTCCGACCTCGAGAAGGTAACGATGTGTCGCAGGAGCTGACTACTCGCGCCTGCAGGCCGAGGGCTACAAGATGCTCTCCGACCTCGAGAAGGTAACGATGTGTCGCAGGAGCTGACTACTCGCGCCTGCAGGCCGAGGGCTACAAGATGCTCTCCGACCTCGAGAAGGTAACGATGTGTCGCAGGAGCTGACTACTCGCGCCTGCAGGCCGAGGGCTACAAGATGCTCTCCGACCTCGAGAAGGTAACGATGTGTCGCAGGAGCTGACTACTCGCGCCTGCAGGCCGAGGGCTACAAGATGCTCTCCGACCTCGAGAAGGTAACGATGTGTCGCAGGAGCTGACGAAGCGCTACCTGCCGCCCGACGCTGGCGTGTATATAAATAGTATTTTAACTTACTTTTATTTCAGTTTCATTTAATTCTTTTACGTTACGTGAAATTTAACTAATGCGATGTTAAAAAGTTTGCTGATTTTGCTGTTTCGTTAAAAATTACTGTTGTGTTTCGTAACGATCAAATACAAAAATAGACGAAATTTTTCAGTCAGAACTTAGAACTATCGTTTTAAAACTTAGTGCCTTGAAGTTTAAAACATTGAATAGTAGTTACAAATATTCTATGTAATACAGAATGCAGTTATTATACAGGGTTTTTCAATAGGTACCGGGTATATTTGAATTGAAATAAAAACATATTGATGGTTTACAATTAGATTATATTTTTTAAGACTTACTCTTTGGCATTATGTATGTAATACCTGCTATTAAATGACCACTTGGCTTCGTATGGTAGCATGAATATGATAGTTCCTATTTTCCATCACTTTTTGACATAATGGTGCCTCTATCTAATCTAATCATTGATGACGCGAGTGATGTTACTCTTTATGTCTTCGACAGTTCTTGGCCTGTTAACATACCATGATATCACATAACCCCTCAAAAATTAATCAATGGGCGTTATATCACAGAATCATGGATGCTACGTGTTGTCCCCAAATTTTGAAATCAGGAACCTGTTGAATTTCTTTTTCAGTAAATTAACTGTTTCTCTGGTGGTATGATAGGTGGCACCGCCGTCCTGTTGAAACCAGATGTCTGTCAGACCCATTTCTTCCAATTTCTGCCACAAAAAATCCCAATCATGTGCCGGTAACGATCACCATTCACAGTTATGGCAGCACCGACCTTGTTATCAAAAAATTAAGGACCAATTAGGCCTCCCAGCCCCAAATGCGCAATAGATAGTCACTCTTTCAGAATGTAACAACCTTTCATATACCTTTGAAGGATTTTCATTTGCCCAATTTCGATAATTTTGCTTCTTTACGAAACAGTTGAGCCATAATTGAGCTTCTTCGCTAAAGATAATTTTCTGCGAAAAATGGGGGTGGTCCTGAAGTTGCTGTGAATCGCAATTAGCGAAATGGTCAATTAGACCCGTATTAATAAACATTCTTCAGCTAAAGTGCACGCACTGGGGAAATTATATTAAATTATCGTAATTGTACTTTTAAAAAAAAATTAAAAAATTAATTTCACTCAAACTTTTTTTTATAGTTTTTTTTTTTATAGTATAGGGTGACAAACGAGCACACAGTCCATCTGATGGTAAGTGTCTGCTGTGGCCCATAGACATCTACATTTATCCTCTTTTGCGAATCAAAATGCAGATGCGTTGTCACCCCTGAGGACTAAGATAGAATGCCTCGTTTCCAATAAAAAGGGTCTCCGGTTCTCTACACTCACCATACGATCCTACTAATATAGCAGCACCATGGCTCTACCACGTACAAAACTATTTCAAACTCCATGATTCGCCTATTACAATCACGATCTCAAGTCACGGACCGCCTGCACTCGGACTTTAGCATCATACACAATAGGTGAGTGTACTTGAGAGTCGAGTTTCGTTTATTAATTAGTACGTCATGTCACTCAGCTGATAAAATAAACCTAAGCCGCGACTTGAGATTGAGGTTGAGGTATATTTATTAATACGATCGTTAGTTCTTGCGTCAACTGAATTTTGTAAGGGTGTAGACCCACATTTCGACAACGGATAAGAAGAGGTATATGAATCAGCTCTGAGCCAGTGATTTCAAATTTTTTCACTATGTGTCGGATAGTGTCGTCCTTAGGACGATTATAACGCACGAAACGTTTGACGAATTGAACTGCCGTTTTTATAGTATACTTTAATTATTTCACCGCGTTGTTTGACGGTATAGCGACTCATCTTGATAAACGCCGAACATTTAATGACTCGCCTGTTAAAAAATTCGCGCCAATAGACAGTCTAGCATGGCCACCGTCTGTTGTCTAAATACCTATATTGAAAAACCCTTTACAAATAAACTACAATGCTTATATCTGTTTGCTTATTTTTTAAGTTTTAAGATTCAATGCGGTTTTCAGGATTTTAGTAAAGCAAACCGCGAATTTTGACTTAAACAGGTTTATTTTTTAAAGAGTATCCAAATTTTAAACTTAAGTTCAATTATATAAATAACAATATACCGTTATTGGACTTTTTGAAAATACGAGTAAGTAGTGTTCCTACTTTTATTTGAAATTATCCTAAATTGTATGTGATTTATGGGCAACAACGTTTTTGCCTACCGATCGACAAATACGAATGTGTATTATGCGCAGTAAAATCAGTTAAAATAATGCATCACCACGTATTTTGAATTTAAAAGATAAAAAGGACAGAACGTTTGAGATTATTTTTAATTAATTTTTCTTCACCACTTGCCTATATTACTTATTCTGAACCTTCTCTGCAAATTTGGAGGTTATTGCAAAGTAACCCTGTATAGAGATACCGCCACTGTGAATATCGTCTCAACTTTGCACACGTTTCAGGGCAAATACGTGAGCACGGACACGTATGAGGCGCACGTGTGGGTGATTCCGGCCAAGGAGGTGGTCATGTGCACCGACAAGCGGCTACTCTACCTCGAGAGGAATCACGTCTTCGGCGGCTGGCAGGTAAGCACATTGTGCCTTTCACTTTAGTATCGTATGGAGAAGAGAGGGATTGGACTAGAAAGCTGCGATTGCGATTAAAATTCAACTTCACTTTGGAGTAAAATGTATGAGTATTGAATTGATTAATGTAAAACTTAAATGCAGTTACGTACGAGTGTATATACCAGAGTTATACCATCACGCTGCGGGCCTTTCTTTTTGAGGGTAATGAAATAGAAAAGACTCTTTGATAGTTTTTGAAGACAAATGCACAAATTTTATTAATATATTTTGTTCTGTATCAACTACCCCATATCATCCCGTGGGAGTTGTAAGGGGCGACAGAGGGAAATGAACAGGAGATGGACAGCAGTGTCTTCCTGACAACTGAAAGTATTAAAACGTAAAGTATTAGTGCGGTTGCCAACCTATGAGGGAATGTAAGGGTGAGGTATATGTTCAGCCTTGGACTTTCGATATGCGGTAATTGGTAAATGAATGAATATTTTGTTACTGATATTTGTTTATTATTATTAATTATCTCGACGCCTGAAAATCGATAAATTCGTACTTAAAAATTTTATTAAAACTCAGTCAAGTACTTCTGTTCGATTCAGATTTATTGTTTTCATTATTTTCAATATTTTAAAATGTAAGGCAACTGTACTGATAGCTAAAATGATTGTGAAAACTTAATTTGGAAACTATTCGTCATATTTATACTGAACATATTTTTGACAGATTGTTTGGACTTACCTCTGGACAGAGATACCGGAGGTCCCGACGGCGGTTAACAAAGGTGTCTTTATACCCACAGCTAAGAAAAAAGTTCTCGGAATGTTCTCCAGCTCCGGTTCCGGAAAAGTGATATTCCTATACGACGAACAACAGAAGAAATTTTTGTTGGCACAATGCGAAAGGCTTATGCGTTCAGCGCATTGACATGAGGTCGTAGAAAGAATGTCGTCAGCGGAATGGCTGAGAGAGTTCTTTCTACTTATATTCGATTTTCGCACTATGCTGTTTGCCTTCGCATACTATTTTAGTCTGCACCACTTGAACCTGAAAGGCTTCCGCTAAGCTGCCGTGGCTAGCTTGGCTTCTATGAACCTTTTTTAACGAGACTATAATTGTGTGGCATATATTACTTAGTTCACTTCTTATATATGTAACGTACAAATGCATTGCTAAGTACATTCGAGAATACAATATATTATTGGCGAGATTAATGTAACATGACACTATCTGCTAACGGTGGACGTGTATTCAAACGAATTAAGGTCCATTTGTGTATTTATTTTATACAGATAATAGAAAGTAAATACACATGTTTTGAATAAATACTTCACATTTTATTGATACGTTTATACCTCTTAATAGTCTAATATTCTAATAATAATTTATTTTGTATAGTATATCTACATTTGTTTATTGCGAATATATTATGAACAAATTAGTAACACTAGGCATGCAGTTTATATTGTACGAACAAGTTCTCTGTTGTGATTACTACCGGTATGCATTTATACATTTTAATTTATACAGGATTTTGTAACTATTTTGTAAAAATTTTCAGTCTTCCTCTGTTTTTATATTTGATTAATGGTTCATCTTAATGTTTGCTATTAAAGGTAAATAAATATGTTACAGGTTTGTTAAAATACCTTTAAATTACTTCAAAATAAGAAGGTCCTGTGTATTTTTTGTATGTACATATGTAACGTTGTGTTTTATATGTATAAACAATAGCATCGTTGATTGTAGATCGATTTTAATGATTTTTTTTTTTGAAAGAAAAAACCACCTCTAAAGGTGGAAAAAGAGGAGATGAGATTATATATTAATAAAAAAAAGGAAATAAAGAAATACTTATTGGACTCCCGTATAAGTAAATTTTTTTCATAACCTCTTTTAACCAATATTTAATCTCTTCCCGATAGTTTTATAGTTTCATGTTGATTATCAGAACTTTAGTATATAGTAAGTATATTTTCAACTTATTCGAGTGTTGTGTACACATCATAGGACAGTACGTATTGTGTTCAATTACTTTTCTGTTGTTTTATTATTATTTATGAGTACAAACATTTGTTACAGACTCTTAGTTTTAATAAAAGTACATTTTTGGGAATTGATTTTCAGTTATTATATTCTAAGAAACAGTGCCTTATATAAGCGTGTATTTTTTCCCCGATTTGTTTTTTATAAATAAACATTGAATATTTTGTCTATAATAAGAGAGAATGTAAATTTTTGTTTGCTATCGTATAAGATTTATTTGTTAAGTTTATGTGCCAGTGTTATCTAGATGTGAAGCTACATTGATGTCCTGCTTTTTGCACGATCTAATTATTTGAATTTAATATTCATTATGTCAAGCTTGTGTAATATTGTTTTAAATATACATAATATATAAAAAAAAAATTGTTTTTTTTTTATTTTATGAACTTTTATAAATCGCTTTTTTATAGCTCAGTGACAAACAAACTTAAGTCTTTTATTAATTTTCTCTAAAGTATCAAGATTTAATTATATATTAAGAACCTATTAAACGACTAAATTAATAATGCCTCCGTGTTGCCTTCGTGTCAATGGTAGGAATTTGTTATGAACCACAAAGCGAAGAGAAACGAAGAGAAGATTAACAACCAACATAGGAATAAGCTTGATTACACATGTTCTAAAGTTTTTAATAATTAATACCACAATTATCTTATGATAAATTAGATTAGAACATGAACACATATTTTTTTTGTTTATAAAATTTTATCCCCACTAGGATTTTCTCCTGTACCGTGGAGGCAGTTTACATACTCAAATATACAAGAACAAACATCCAGACCCGGAACAATTACTTGTGGGCCATACAAAAACTTATACCGTGTCCGCGATTCAAACACGAGCATATATATAGTACGTGGGTGGATAAATGGATTTGAAAGAAGCGAGAGTGGAGCATCAGGATCGTACCAGATGGAAGTACGTATTCTGCCTACCCTTCTGAGTAACAGGCGTGAGAGTTTGTTTAGTTTAGTTTCAATTAACTCATTCTAGGGATATTTTAAGTTATGTATTGAAAATAAACAACAAAGAATTTCTTGAAACATCTTTGAGTCCAAATGCGTATTATTCTATACTATAGTTCATCATCATCATTCATCATTACAGCCTTTCATAAGTACACTGCTGAACATAGAGCTTCCCAAAGGAATGCAACAAAGCACGGACCTGAGCCACCTTCATCCATCGACTTCCTGCATGTCTTACCAGGTCGTTACTCCATCTAGTGGGGGGTCGCCCTACACTTCGCCTACCGGTACGAGGCTGCCACTCAAGAACCTTTCTTCCCCATCGGTTGTCGGTTCTTGGAGTTATATGGCCGGCCCACTGCCACTTCAGCTTACTAATCCTAATAGTTGGGCTATGTCGGTTACTCTGGTTCTACTGCAGAAATCCTCATTTCTAATTTTATCACGCAGAGAAACCTCGAGCATATAGCCCTCTCCATAGCTCGCTGAGCGACCTTGAGCTTCCTCATACGGCCAGCAGTGAAGGACCACGTCTCGAGATCCGTAAGTCATCATTGGCAACACGCACTGGTTGTACAATTTCGTTTTCAGGTTTTGAGGAATGTCTAACGAGAATATGTGTCGTAGTTTCCCGAACGCTGCCCAGCCGAGTTGAATCCGTCGATTGACCTCTCGGCCGAAGTTGGACTTACCTAGTCGGACTATTTGTCCCAGCTAAACATACTCGTCAACAACTTCGAGCTTAGTGCTCCCAACAACTACCGGCATAGGTGTGACATGGACGTTAAATATGTTTTTTGTTTTGTCCATGTTTATCTTAAGATCTATCCGTTGGGAGACACTATTGAGGTCATTGAGCATAGTGCTTAAGTCCTCCAGAGATTCTGCCATAAGAACTATATCGTCGGCAAATCGAAGGTGAGTGATGTACTCGGCATTGATGTTAATACCGCATCATTTCCAGTCCAGTAGCTTGAAAACGTCTTCCAATGTAGCGGTGAAGAGTTTCGGGAATATAACGTCACCCTGTCTTACACCTCTCTGCAGTTGGATAGGTTTCGTACTCTGATTCTGTACTCGGATAGCCATCGTAGCTCTACTGTACAAACACTTTAGAACCTCGATATATCGACAGTCAATTTGGCACCGCTGAAGAGACTGCAGTACCGCCCAAATTTCGACTGAATCAAAGGCTTTCTCATAGTCCACATACGCAAGACAAAGTGGCCTCCTCTGTCTTCTGTACAATCTGCCGCAGGGTATGTATGTGGTCTATGGTACTAAAGCCTTTTCGGAAACCGGCTTGTTCGGGAGGCTGGAAGTCGTCAAGTCTTCGTGCGAGACGGTTCATAATGACTCTCGAAAACAGCACGTAGACGCGGCTCAGAAGTGAAATAGGTCTGTAGTTCTTCAAGAGAGCGTTGTTGCCTTTCTTGAAGAATAAGACCACCGCACTTCTGCTCCACGCCTCCGGAGTAGTGCCACTATGGAAGACGGAATTAAAGAGCTTCTGAAGGACTTCAAGTACCGGTTTTCCACCCGCTTTCAAAAGCTCCGGTGTAATTCCATCTTCGCCCGGGGACTTGCCGTTTTTAAGGTGCTGGAGAGCTCGCTCAGACTGACGTCCGGGATATCTTCGGAATAGTGTCGGATAAGACTCGCTCTTGGATCGTTACTCACACTTGCGTGTTGCTCCAACGATGACGTGTACAGCTGCCCATAGAACCTCTCAATCTCACTCAAAATCTCAGGTGTCCCGGAAACGATGCTGCCACACTCGGTATTCAGCTTTGACTGTTGGATCTTTCTGGCAGACAGATCTCTGGCAAAGACTGGAGCCTTGGTTCCGCTCGATCGCTTTTTCAATACACGCTGTATTGAAGTTGCGTAAGTCCCGCCGCATGCATTTGGAGATCTGTCTGTTCAGTTGCCTGTATGCTGTCAAATCTGTTGAAGAATGTAGCTTCATCTCCCGTCTAACAGCCATGAGATTAAGAGTGTGATCGGAGAGTTTTTGTGTTCTTCTGCGACGGGTCTTGCAGAACTTAGCTCCGATCGCATGGACAGTTTCTTCGAGCTTGTCATTCATATCGTCCACTTCATTGCAGTCTTCTAGGCACTGAAAACGGTTTTGTAACTCGAGCTGAAAGGTTTCGGGACTTTGGAACAGAGCACAAGGGGGACGGAGCGTTGACTTCATTAGACGAGACCTCTCCAACTTAACGTTTAGGTTCAGTGTGCTTCTAACCATTCGGTGATTGCTACCAGTTTTCAACCTCTCGATCATGGAGACATCACTGAACAGTTGTCGTCATAATGAAGTCAATCTCATTTTTTGTCGAACCGTCGGGGCTCGGCCAGGTCCACTTCCTGTGAGGCCGCTTCTGGAAGGAGGAGTTCACCATAAAGAGCCCCTCTTTCTCCATGAAGTCGGCCAGCTGCTGGGCCCTTGGGTTCCGTTGCCCTATTCCAAATCCCTACTTTCAGCTCACCGTTCTCTCTTGTGCCTAGTTTTGCATTGAAGTCTCCCATTAACACCGTATAGTGGGTTTTGGAGGAATGCATGGCTCTAGAGATATCCTCATACAATTCCTCCACCTCCTCATCAGGTTGTGCTGAGTTTGGTGCGTAAACCTGTATGACCTTCAGCGAATACCGTTTGGTGATTCTGAGTATAAGGTACGCAACCCTTGTCGTCGCACTCAATCTTTACAAAGTTGTTAACGAGAGACTTGTGGACGATAAATCCGACACCTCCTTGGGACAGATGGTCACCCTCCCGGTGATAGAGCAAGTTACCGGATTCGAGGATTACCGTGTCCTCCCCCTCTTTTCGGACCTCGGATAATCCTATAATATGCCAGCGTAACTTGTCTATCTCTTCTTCCAGCTCCACGATCTCGCCATTCCTCA